AGAGAGAGAGAGAGAGAGAGAGAGAGAGAGAGAGAGAGAGAGAGAGAGCTCTGCATCCTTTACCTAATTTATAAATGTTAACACCATCACTTTTCATGCATTTTTAGCTTTCATGGGAGAAAATGCACGAATGAAGTAAAAGAGGTCATCAGGTTGAGGATAATATAACTCGAAATACCAACTGCAGGAAAAGGATGGAAAAGTCATTTCCTGCTTGTAAATATACCTGATGCATCTGAATGGCCTCTGGCAGCACCAATAGGCTCACTTAAGATGAATCTTGTCCAGATCCAACCAAATAATTCTAATGCTCTAAGGAGTGATGATGAACCTTTTTGGCACCGAGTGCCGAAAAGGGAGCATACATGCATGTGCTTTACACGCTCATCTGGATTGTAACCCAAAAGAGGAGCTGCCCAGGGGGCATCAGTGCGCCGGAAAATAAACTTCCAGTTTCCAGCACACGCATGCATGCCAGACAGCTAGTCTTCTGGTTACTGTCAGCTGGCCGGTGCACATGCTCACGCTGGAAAACAGAAGACCAGCTCTTCCAGTTTCCAGCACTGCCACGTGCACGGAGGCCAGTTGATCAGAAACCCGGAAAAAACCCTGGAATAAGAATGGGCGACGCCACATGTGCCAGGCAACATGGCTCCATGTGCCATTTCCAGCATGCGTACCATAGATTCGCATCATGGCTCTAAGGCATGAAACATTTTACTTACGTTAAATATGTGGGCTTTAAACTGAAATTAAATGTTTTAAAAGATTTCCTGAAACGTATACTGATAAACTACTTGCTCATTTGAGTACAAATTGCTGTATTAATATAATATTCAACTGTATTTCCAGTGCCTAGCCAGTTCACAAAGAGTAAAGGGGTTTACACGTTTCTCCATTCCCAGCCCGCTTGCCCACTATACCAAATGACATGTCATCCAGGCACTGTGGTTACACACAACCAAGCTATTTTGAAAGGAAGGAACACTTTTTGTAAACTGGGCTTAAAGAAATCTGAATGAGAGAGGCATGCACAAAGCCCAGCAATTTGTCCAATATGTACAGAGGATTTTCAGTTGTCAGGGGTATGGATTTAGATCTAAAAGCTGTTGTTCTGGGATGGTTTCCATAACACAATGCATTTACATTGGATAATCCTAATGCTGAAAAATAACTACTTCTGCAGATCTTATTCAATCTGGGGACACTAAAGAGATAATGAAGTTAGATTTTAGGAAATATTATAAGATACAATAGGAATGATTACCAACGTTAAATGCACTTTAACACTAATCCGGTTTTCTCAGCATGCAAGCCATAATTCAAAAATTAACCTAAAATTAATATTTGTTTTCCACCACTTCTTATCCCATTCTTTCTGGGTTTGTCCCCTGGGACAGAAATTACAACTTTTGAAAAACGTAGTGATAAAACAAGCTAAAACATCTACACTGACTGACAATCAGTTACAGAGCCATATTAAAGGTACTAATATTAGGGTATAAAATTCTAAACAATTTAGGTCACTTAACCATTTTGCTTTTGCTAAAAAACTGTATGAACATGTCTGTCAGCTCTTTGAGAAACTCCAGAGAGAAAGCTAAAGCATGCACACTACTACATTGATTGCAAGGTTTACAGTAAAATAATCTTGCAAGTCTGGAAGCACTTCTCCCCACCCTTTTCTTTGACTTCCAATAAACTAGGGAAGGTCTCTTCTGAGACTCTTTAACATCTGAGATTCTTTAGCATAATGGTCAGTAAGAGATGACTCAGCCCTGTGGGCTGAGACATCTCTTACTGAC